ACAGGCGCGCGCTACCACGCCCGGCTGATTTTTTGATTTATTGTAGAGACGAGGTCTCACCAAGTTGCCCAGGCGGGTCTCAAACCTTTTGTGCAGTAGTGTGCTAAGTTCGTGTTTGCCCAAGACAGCACCAGGAAGGGCCTGGGTCACCATTCATGGTTACAAGGACGGGCCAGCATTCATCAACGAACCACTCTTTGAGTCAACAACGTCAATGACCTTTTTGTTCATCACAATCTGTCACCATTGTATTGTCTCAATGTAATGAACACTAATACTTCTACACATTAAACTACACAGCGGATCCTTTTGAGGGTGCTGAGTGGCCCCGTCAGGAAACTACAGAGCACAGAACTCTTTGAACTGAGCCGGGAAGCATCTTGGCGTCCTTTAGCTAGGCTCTTGTGTCAGAATAGATTTTACATGGGAAGGAAAAAAAAAGGCAGAGAGAGAAAAGCAAGATAAGGCCTTGTCAGAGAGGAATTCATACTTTATCCTGAAAATTCTCAGAATCAAATTATCTGAAGACTACATATGTGTGGATGGCATTCTCGTGAGACTCCTTCATTTTTGTTCATGTACCTGGATGGGATTCTTAGGAGATGTCCTTAATCTACACTCTTTGGCTCTCCCAAAGAATACATTTGAACCAGCAAGGGCAGTCGTGCATTCCAAGCACGTCACTGGGCAAACACAGACGGGTACATAAGAAATTGCTACGTGTTTATTTAAAATACGTATATAGGCCAGGCTTGGTGGCTCAGCCTGTCAACCCAGCACTTTGGGGAAGCCAGAGCAAGTGGATTTCCTGAGCCCATGGGTTCGAGACCAGTTCGGGCAACTTGGCAAGATCTCGTCTTCACAATAAATAAAAAAAAATTAGCCAGGCATGGTGGTGCGTGCCTGTAGTTCCTGCTACTTGGAAGGCTGGGGTGGAAGGATCACCTGAGCTCAGCAGGTCGACACTGGGGTGGCCAGGAACGTGCCACTACACTCCAGCCTGGGTGACGGAGTGAGACTCCAACTCATAAACAAATGAATGAATGAATGAATGAATAATATACATCTACCAAGTATCACAACATTAATTTCTTTTTGTTTTAAAAAGTGCAACCTTTTAGATGTGTAAGACTTGAAATACAACATAATGAAAGTCGGTCAGGCTAAAAGTAGTAGTCAAACATCACAGTGAAAAAGATCAGCTCTCTGCTATTTTTCATGAAACAAAGACAACCTGTGGTCAGAAACTTTAGTAAACAGACAGTGCACAGGTAATGCCATCATCCTGTCATTTTCAATTCAAAGAGGAAAAAATTTAAACTGGAGAAGAGGATGGTATCACGACATGTGGTGGGGTTTCCACCTACCATTTCTGAGTTGCAAGTGGTCTCTCTCTGCACTGCCAAGGTGTTATATTCTGACTGACAACAACCCTGGAACAATTGTTGGCACTACTGGTGTCACCCTTATTAAGACCAAGACTGCCCTCACTCAATCTATCTTATGCAACCACTTAGAAACCTTACCATCAAATTGACTTTATGTAAACATTGATTTTATTTACTTAAAGGCAGAAAGCAAACCAGAATATAACCAATGACTCATTTTCTAAGTCAACTTAGGTCATACATTGCTAAACTATATATCAAGTGCTGGGGATATACCACTTTAAAAAAAATACATTCAATCTGCCATCACCTTGCTGTTAACCAGAATTAAGCTAATAAATCATGCCAGTTTAAAAGTAGCAAGTAGAACAAATGAAATTCTAATTACTGCTTTGCAGACTGAAATGACAACTCCTATATCACAGGTATGCTCAGTTCATGTTCAAGTTCCTGCATGCTTTTACTAGGTTGTAAGTATCCTATTCTGTTTTCCAATTTCAAGTGTATAACTTGGTCTTTTGCATAAAAAGGTAACAATTCATTTTTAGGATCCCAGTCAAAAAACAAAATCCTGATCTAGGCGAAACTCTGGTCTAAACCATGGTACTATTTCTCACTCTTACATTTTCAAATGTATTATAAAATAATGTTTGCAGTACAATTCTTCTTTTTTTAACCAAAAGGGATTAGAGTGTTAATGGGGAACACATGATCCAATTTCTTTTTTTTTCCAGGCTACAGCCCTTTTCTAGAACAAACAGGAAAGCACTTACGCCTACTTCTACAAAAGACAGTGATTTTGAGGATTTCAAGGTATTGCTTTTAAAAATTGAGCTCGGTGGCTCAGCCAGTAATCCCAGCACTTTGGGAGGCTGAGGTGAGTGGATTGCCTGAGCCTGCATGTTCGAGACCCACCTGGGCAACTTGATGAGACCTCATCTCTACAACAAATAAAAAATTAGCCGGGTGTGGTCGCGCGTGCCTGTAGTTCCAGCTACTTGAAAGGCTGAGGCGGAAGGATCGCCGGAGCCCAGCAGGTCGAGGCTGCGGTGGCCGGAAGCGGCCATTGCACTCCAGTGTGGGAGACAGAGTGAGACTCCAACTCAAAAAATAAAAAATAAAAATTGAGCTGCATTAAATTCAAAACTTAGAAAAATTGTTTCAAATAAAAATCAAACATGATATTGTTCAGCAAGTATAAAAATGCTCATTTTCACATGTAAAACTCATTTGACATGTAAAGTAAAAGATTCATGGTAATCTTTACATTTTCACACATAATCTTGATGTGTGTGTATAACTGTGTGTGGGAAAACTATATATGCACAGCCTTTTCAAGATAGACAAGAAAATTCTTATCTTAATAATTTATCTTAGCAAATAAGTTCAATATATCTTGAAATATATGCCTTTAAAAAGTCCGGGGCCAGGCAGTTTCTCAGCTGACTTCTGTAACATGTACAAGGAAGAACTGATACCAATCCTATTGAAAGTATTCCGGGAAATAAATAAGGAAGGAGTTCTCCCTAGCTCATTCTATGAGGCCAGTATCATCACAATACCCTAAAGTAGCAAAGATCCAGCAAAGAAATTTAAAAAAAAAGGGAAAGAAAACTGCAGGCCAATTTCCCTGATGAACATAGATGCAAAAATTCTCAGAAAGATTATAGCAAATTGCATCCAACAGCACAATTCAAGGAACATTAATCATGACCAGGTGGGCTTCATTCCTGAGATACGAGGCTGCTTCAGCATACACAAATCAAGAAACAATCCATCCCATAAATAGGTAGAAAACCTGTTAGAACCATGTGATTATACCATCAGATGCAAAAACACATTCAATAAAATTCAACGTCCCTTCTTGATAAAAACCCTCAAACACTTAGGCATGAAGGAACATCCCTCAAAATATTAAGAGCCACCTATGTCAAACCTGCAGCCAATATAAAACTTCATGGGTAGACACTGAAGCATTCCCCCTAAGAAGTGAACAAGACAGGGATGCCCAATCTCACCCCTCCTATTCAACATGGTACTGGAAGACCTAGAAAAAGAAATCAGGCAGAAAAAAGAAATCAACCGTATCCAAATAAGAAAAGGAGAAGTTAAATCATCGCTCTTCGCAGATCATAAGATTCTCTACCTAGAAAACTCTAGAAAGATGGTCAAAAACCTCCTTGCACTGATGAGCAACTTTGGTGAAGTCTTGGGATACAAAAATCAGCTGCATTTCTATACATGAACGACAAGCAGCAAACTTGAGAAGCAAATGAAAAACACAATCCCATTCACAGTAGCTACAAAAATAAACAAATAAAATACCTCAGCATTCATTTAACCAAAGAGGTGGGTAACCTTTACAAGAAGAACTACAAAACACAGCTCAAGGAAACCAAAGACAAACCAATGGAAGAACATCCCATGTTCATGAACTGGAAGAATCAATATCATCATGACGTCCATCCTACCCAAGGCAATCTACAGATTCAGCACTCTCTATCAAACTACCAGCATCATTTTTCACAGACCTTGTAAAGACGGTACTGAAATTCATACGGAAAGAAAAAAGGGCCCTAATGGCTACAGCAATCTTCAGCAAAAAGAACAAGGCTGGAGGCATCACACTTCCAGACCCCAAACTTCATTACAAGGCTAAAGTAACCAAGACAGCATGGTACTGGTATACCAACAGACACACAGACCAATGGAACAGGACACCGAAACCAGACATAAAACCATAGACCTTTGTTGATAAAGCCAACAAACACACATTGAGGAAAAGATACCATAGTTAGCAAATGGTGCTGAGGAATGAAACTGTACCCCTACCTATCACCGTATATAAACATTAACTCAAAATGTATCAAGGTTTTAAATGTGAAACCCTAAACTATAAAAATACCCTCCTGGCCAAGCATGATGGCTCACACCTATAATTCCACCACTTTGGGAGGCAGAGGCGAGAGGATTGCCTGAGCCCAGGGGTTTGAGACCAGCCTGGGCAACTTGGTGAGACCTCGTTTCTACAATCAATGTGCGCCTGTGGTTCCAGCTACTTGGAAGGCTGAAGAGGAAGGGTCGCCTGAGTCTAACAGGTTGAGGCTGCAGTGACTGTGAGAGTGCCACTGCCCTCCAGCCTGGGTGACAGAGTGAGACTCCGACTCAAAAAAAAAAAAAAAGAACACTCTCAGAACATCAGCCCAGGTAATGAATTCATGGTCAAGTCCTCAAGTCAAAAGCAGTAAAAGCAAAGATGGACAAGTGGGACCTTATCAAGCTAAACTTTTTTTGCACTGCTAAAGGGACCATCACAAGAGTAAAAAGACAACCCACAGAATAGGAACAAATATTTCCAAGCTATGCATCCAACAAAGGCCTAACCTCCAGGATCTATACGGAACTCACACAAATTGTAAGGAAAAAAACAAACACATAACCCTAACCCCATTAAAAAGCGAACAAAGAGCCGGGCTCGGTAGCTCAGCCTGTAATCCCAGAACTTTGGGAGGCTGAGGTGAGTGGATTGCCTGAGTCCACGGATTCGAGAACTGCCTGGGCAACTTGGCGAGACCTCATCGCTACAATAAATCAAAAATGAACCGGGCGTGGTAGCGCGCGCCTGTAATTCCGGCTACTCGGAAGGCTGAGGCGGAAGGATCGCCGGAGCCCAGCAGATCGAGGCTGCGGTGGCCGGGAGCGGCCACTACATTCCAGTCTGGTTGACAGAGTGAGACTCCAACTCAAAAAAAAAGCGAACAAAGGACACAGACACTTCTCAAAGGACAACATCCAAGCAGCCAACAAACATATGAATAAGTGCTCAGCCTCGCTAATCACCAGAGAAATGCAAATCAAAGCTACAATGAGATACCACCTAACACTGGTCAGGATGACTCTCATTAAAAAATTTTAAAAACAACAGGTGTTGGTGAGGCTGCAGAGAAAAAGGGATGCCTCTACACTGTTGGTGGTGATGTAAGCTAGTTCACCCTCCGTAGAAAGCACTGTGGCATTTTCTCAAAGAACTAAAAATTGAGTTTCCTTAGGATCCAGCAATCATCTGGGAGTGTACTCAGAGGAACACAAATCACTCTGCTAAAAAGACACCTGCACATGTATGTTCACTGCAGTTCTATTCACAATAGCACAATCATGGAACCAATCCAGATGCACGTCAAAAGTGGACTGGATCGAGAAAACGGGGTACATATACACAAGGGAATACTACACAGCCATCAAGAATGACAAAATCACATCCTCTGCAGCAAGGATATAGCTGGAGACTGTCATTCTAAGTGAGCTACCCCAGAAACAAAAAGTGAACATGTTCTCACTCATAAGCAGGCCCAAAATACTGGGCACATGAGCACAAAGGCAGGAATGACTGACGCTGGGCACTACTAGAGAGAGGGAAGGCAAAGAAGGGACGTAACGGGCACGTGACCACCACTGGGTGCCATGTCCGCTACCGGGGAGAGAGCGCTCACTAGAAGCCCAAATCTCACCTGCACACAATTTACTTACGTAGCAAACCTCATAATACCCCACAACTCTAAAATTTAAATTTAAATTTTTTAAAAAAATACGACTTTAAAGGCGTAGTCAATAGAAATACTGCTATAAAAGATAGGTGATCACCTAAGACCCGATCCCCACCACAGCACAATAGGTCCAGGTAAAGAAAAAACACTCTATTCGCAATAGCAAAAACATGGAACCAACCATGTTGCCCCTCGAAGCCAGACAGGATAAAAAAATGTGGTACATATACACAATGGAATATTACGCAGCCATATAGAAGGACAAACATATGGACTTTGCAGCAACTTGGATGGATTTGGAGTCAATCATATTCAGTGATCTACCACAGAAACAAAGAACAAAGTACCCTATGTTCTCACTCATAAGTTGACCTTGAACAATTATGATACTATAAGAAAGTGATTGGCAGTACTGAGAAACTGTCAGGGGAAGGGGGGTGGGATTGGAAGTTGAGGGAAACTGCCAGGGGAGGGAGGGTCGCACCTCATCAACAAAGGTACCTGCATAATCAACGTTTGTATACCTGAATTGTACCCCACATCTTTATAAAAGAAAAAAGAAAAAATATGTGTACCCCTGAATCTAAAATAAAGATGGAAAAAAGAGAGACCGGCCATCACAGCTGTATGATTCAGCGGATCACAGTCCTATGGTAAGAGAAAAATCTATATAGACACTGTACCCAGATGCCTTGTGTACAATCACACATATTTACATACACGCACTTTGGAACATTCAAAAGTACAGATCTGTTTTTACCATAATCAGTAACAGACTTTGGAGCACGCTGCTCTGTTTCCGTGTTTCTCTTCTTGTTCTTGGATTTCCATGCATGGTACACTTTGAGTCTCCTGTGGAATTCTTCTCTGCAGGCTGCCAGGAGTTCAATATCTATCGATCACATAGAAAGAGGGAGGAAAAAAAAAAAAAGACGAATATCCTAATGTACCCATCTAACGTAAGTAGATAATTATTCTGTGGCATAAACAGATTTTTGTTCTTAAGTAGTACAAAATAAAAAATATGCTGATTATTCATAAAGATGAGCATTTTATGATATCTTTTATATTTACAGAGCATTTTCTTACATACGATAGAAATCTTACATCATCTACTCCACACAGGCACTCTGAACTAAACAGGTCTTTTAAGTATGAAGAATTAGAATGAGGGAGGTTAAGTCACTTGTCCAAGGCCACCATTCTTGACAGCAGAGTAAAAAGTCACCGTGCTCCAATACAAGCTAGATTTATATGTGATACTTTTTAAAAAAATGTTTATCATGACCCGGACACACTCAGTGTGGAGGAGAAGAACGGCATGAAGAATTCTGCACAATTAGGATAGTTGTGTTTCTAGGCATAGTGTCTTGAGGTCTAACACCATGGTTTAAAAAAAGAGCATGATGGTCAGGCTCGGTGGCTCAGCCTGTCATCCCAGAACTTTGGGAGGCCGAGGCAAGGGGATCGCCTGAGCCCTTGGGTTCGAGATCAGCCCGGGCAACTTGGCGAGACCTCGTCTCTACAATAAAATAAAAAATGAGCCGGGTGTGGTGGCGTGCGCCTGTAGTTCCAGCTACTGGAAGGTTGAGGTGGAAGGATCACCGGAGCCTAGCAGGGTGAGGCTGTGGCGGCCGTGAGCATGCCCTTGCCCTCCAGCCTGGGCAACAGAGTGAGACTCCAACTCAAAAAATAAAAGGAAAAAATAAAATAAAAAGAAGCAGTTGCATTGCCATCTGTCACTCTGCATTCATGGACCAGAAGATTCAGCTCTTCAGGTTTTTCTCTGCTATGAATAGCATCAGAAAGGCCAGTCATTCACATCTTCCTCCCATCATCATCTTTGCTCTTCTCCGACTTGGGCAAGGATAGGCAAAATCCAATTTAATGGCCACGTCTTCTCAGGCTTATGAACAAACTTGATCTTCATTTCAAGGGGAGAATAGCAAATAGACGAACTTACGCTAACTCACACGACCTCCTCTCTGGCTCTCCCGTCCCAGTCCAGGGGTGGTGATATCCTCCCTAACCCTCACCCAGCACTACTGGCCCTCCCCTTAAACTCACCGCAGGAGGTATTGATTGTATCACGCAGTTCTGCGTACTTCCATTTACTAAGATCGTGTTTCTTGGTGCCCGCGGCGGCCTTGGTGGCTTGGACAGCAGGACCTCTGCAATGATCATACAGTTTTGCACATTTAAACCAGAGACACGCAGGATCCATTGATTAAAGAGGCAAGAGGGTATGCGTAAGTGTGACAACAGGAAACAACTACCAGAAAAACGTGCAATCGTGTGTTTCTTTAACAGAGGAGACAAAGGGTGATGTACAAAAAGAACTTTGTGATTCCAGTGGTCTGGAGCTGTGGACTTCAGTTTAAATGTTGTTACGGGTGTGCACATGAAACACCCTTGCATATACCCCTGAGAAACCCAAAAAAGGATGCCTTGACACGCTGGAAAGACTATCAGAAGCACATGCATGGTGTGTTCATGGGCCACCAGGCTGCCCAGTCTGGTCACCTGCAAAGACCACTGAGCACAAGTGGCCACACTCACTCACATCCACTGGCTCAGGGTCACCCTGGGCCACCTGGGCGTCTAACGCGGCATGAGGGTCAAAAGGGAAGGCTCAAGGAAGTGCTGGGGTCAGAGCTTCCCGGGCATTTTGGCCTGCACTACCTTAAGAACACTAAGTTCTATAGGTGGACAAAAAACACACGCTCGTATCTAATAAGTAATAATAACATGATGAGTAAATGACAGAGAGAGGTTTCAGTTCATAATGCAGAGATTTCAAAGGGCGATCATGTACCTGACACCATTCAGCAGGGACATTTGTATCGGAAGAGAAGAAAGAAAATTCAAAGCATTCCATTTGATGGCACAAAAATTCAAGTTTTTCAGAATAGTGCTACTCGTGAGCTGAAGACTTGTTTTCACGCACCTCATCTGAGATCACTAATCAGAAAATATGAATAGTTTCTCTTCTGTGATAATGAACACGGATTATACTTGCACATAACAGAATAAACTTAGAATAAACTGCAAGACTTCTCAGTACAATGTAACGAAGGAAGGCTTTAAACACAACACGTTTCAAGACATGAAAAGAAGGTGGCACGGATATTAAAATAGCTAAATATTAAAGAACTAATGTACTTCTTGCTTCTCAGGTATCACACCAGGATATTCTCTTTTATCATCTACTTCTTGGAAAGTATTTCCTCTTAAAGAGGGATGATCAAGATATAACACCTCCACCCCCAGCCTGGGCAACTTGACGAGACCTTGTCTCTACAATAAATCAAAAAATTATCCAGGTGTGGTGGCGCACGCCTGTAGTTCCGGCTACTTGGAAGGCTGAGGCGGAAGGATCGCTGGAGCCCAGCAGGTCAAGGCTGGGGTGGCCATGAGCGTGCCACTGCACCCCAGCCTGGGCGATGGAGTGAGATTCCAGCTCACAAAAAAAAAAAAAAAAAGATATAACACCCCAAAATAAGCACGTGTTTTTTATTCTACATTTTGAAAGGTAACAGCAATCTTAGCAAGCAGTCAAGACACAGACTTAACAAGATTGATATTGGCAAAAAATTGTTTCGAAATATGGTACTTCTTCCTGAAGTGAAAAGAATTATCTTTTCAATATTAAGTTTAAAAATGAAATAAATATGGTGCCTCCACTTCTTGAAAAGGCCTGTGTATGCTTTCGTTTTAGAGAATAAAACAAAGCAGGCTTCACCCCACATCCTTAAAATTGTTTGACACGGTGATTGTTAGTTACACATAAGACTGGTGAAAGAATAATGTGAGGCCGTTTAGACCCTCTTGTATTTTTATGACTAAAACCTGTTTTAGGTTCACTGCAGAATCTATACATTCCATGAGCTGTGTGGCTGGCAATTTTCCATGTAGTTTTTTGTTCCTAATTGCTTTGCTCAAAAATAGCCAGCTGTGTATAAGCAAGGTCACTCTATTATTCTTTTTTTTTTTTTGAGTTGGAGTCTCACTCTGTCGCCCAGACTGGAGTGCAGTGGCCACTCCTGGCCACCGCAGCCTCGACCTGCTGGGCTCCGGCGATCCTGCCGCCTCAGCCTTCCAAGTGGCTGGAACTACAGGCGCGCGCTACCACGCCCGGCTAACTTTTTGATTTATTGTAGAGATGAGGTCTCACCAAGTTGCCCGGGCAGGTCTCGTACTCGCGGGCTCAGGCAATCCACACTCTATCATTCTTAACAATCATGTTTTAATATTATATTTAAATATTATTTTTCTGTCCTCCATCCCTAAACCAAAATTCAATACACTAACAAAAAAAAATTCTTTCTTTTTCCTAACTCCTCAAGAGAATCTTTTCTAGGAGGGCAGTTGAAAATTATTATGTGTTTTATTGTTGTTTTCTTTGGAAAGAGAAAGCAAATTTACATAATATACAGTTTTACAGATTGTCAGAATGTACCCAAGGTGGTGGCATATACATAAGGTTTATCTTGATACTTTAAAAAAATTACAGGTCAGGCTCGGTGGCTCAGCCTGTCATCCCAGCACTTTGGGAGGCTAAGGCGAGTGAATTGCCTGAGCCCGTGGGTTCGAGACCAGCCCGGGCAACTTGGCAAGACCTCGTCTCTACAATAAATCAAAACATTAGCCAGGTGAGGTGGTGCACTCCTGTAGTTTTGGCTACTTGGAAGGCTGAGGTGGAAGGATCGCCTGAGCCCAGCGGGTTGACACTGGGGTGGCTGTGAATGTGCCACTGTACTCCAGCCTGGGCGACGAAGTGAGACGCCGACTCAAAAAAAAAAACAAGTATCACAAATTGAATGGCTATTGCTTAAAACATGGTTTTAGTATCACTAACTTTTATTCATATCACCCAGACAAAATCACATCTGCTGAAAAGCATGCCATCCATAGAAGTATATGAATGCAACACGTTTAAACACTTCCTGCCCCATCTCCAGAGTTATTAAGATAGTAAAATAAAGGCATAATTTACTGATCGTTTAGATTTGCTATAAAGACGAGCACACAAACAACACAGAAAGGCAGTAGCAAAACAAATTTGATTTTTAAAAGACATTAATTTAACACTTTCAGTGAACTTATAACTTTAGAATTGTGAATTAACATGCTAACTGATTCATACCCACCTACGCAGGTGACAGACCAGATCCTGACGATGGCCCAATTGACCCCCCCATGGTTTCCATAGTACATCGCCCCTCAGAAGGCACTCATCCCTAATTCCCCTTCAACCAGGCGCAAAATGTCCCCAGGAGCAGCTGTAAAATGATCACTGTCAGGATGAGGGGAGAGTCCCCTCGTGAGACTGAGATCACCAGGACAGGACCTACCCACAAGAAACTGGCCGATACACCATGCCAAGGGTATCCCCTCCCAATCCCCCAACAAGAAACACCAGTTTGGAGGAACTTTGCTTTTTCTCTTTTTCTGGGTCGGGTAGGGTGAGGGAGAAGTGACATTTCTGATACAGAAAATTTACATGGAGAGAGAGCGCCGTTCCTAGGACAGGTCCTGGTCCAAACAGTCAAAAGTCAAGTTAAAAAGTGATTTTTGAGGTGAACACGTAATTCCCAAATGATACTGCACTGACCTATTCAAAAATTCTGACATCTCTCTGGCCATTTGTTCCCTACGAGAAAAATGATAACAAAATGGTTACATACTAGACACACTATACAAATGACATAAAAGATTTAAAAGTATAAAGCTTATATTTTAATGATTATTGATGTGGTAACTGCTTCACAATTATTTTACTTGGTAAATGACGATGATTTGCTTTTCAATAAATCCAGCCACATAACACAGCAAAAGTTTCACTTAAACCCAGTTAAAGTTATTTGAATACATCTCTAGTTTTTGCAGTAGGAACTTTCAGATGAAATCTCATGAAAAGCATGCTTCTCTCTCTGTGTGTGTGTGTGTGTTTTAATACATAGAATACAAATAGCATATTCTAAACATGCACAGGAAACTTGACAGGATATGACTTCTCTAGGAGGACTCTGGGGCCAGAGTTGCTTAGTAAATATTAATTAGACAAGGCAAAAAGGTGGTAAAACCAAGCTGATAGGCTTTACAGTGTCAGAGTTTTAGAAATAATCTTATATATCCAAAACTCTAACATTTTAAATCAAAGCATGCTTTAAAAATAATAATATCGGCCAGGCTCAGTGGCTCAGCCTGTCATCCCAGCATTTTGGGAGGTCAAGGCAAGTGGATTGCCTGAGTCCAAGGATTCGAAACCAGCCCAGGCAACTTGGTGAGACCTCGTCTCTACAATAAATAAAAAATTGGCCAGGCGTGGTAGCACGTGCCTGTAGTTCCAGCTACTTAGAAGGCAGAAGTGGAAGGATCGTCTGAGCCCGGCAGGTCGAGGATGGGATGGCCGTGAGCATGCAACTGCCCTCTAGCCTGGGCAATGGAGTAAGACTCCAACTCAAGAAAATAATAATAATAAAAATAAAATAATAATAACAACAATATCAATAGAAGGACTTATTACATGAAGGATCTAAAGCATTCTGGCCTTCCAAGAATAAACATTTCTCCAAGATAAAAAAACCTTATTTTCATTTTATTATCCAGAAGAGTGTAACTTCTCTCAATATTTATTGAATCATGTGGAATGGAATAAAGAAAGTTTCATGATGTTTTTCAGCACTTTGTTAACTTCATTTTTTTATCTCTGTTCTTGGCTCTTTTTCTTCAAAATTACTTTCTTAGTCCTTCTACTCCTCAGACTCCGGTAACCACAAAACCTTACCAATTGGTAAAAATCATAAGAAAAGAAGATACGCTGCCTCAAGCATAGTTTCTTGGGTACCAGCCTGGAGCCAGGACACTGAGGGGAAGAGGCGGGATCCCACAGCCTCTTTCCCGGGGATGGCGAGGGAGGTGCATCCCAGCAAGCCAAGAAAGCCAAGAAAAAGTGGTTTTCCAACACCAGCCATAAAGGACAGCAAACAGGAAACAAAATACACAAATATAGCCCAATAAAAATGATGGTTGAGCAATAGATTTACCCATCTCTTCTGAAGCCGGCAGTTTCTCAGGATTCCTTCAAACTCAGCATGAGTTTGACGAGTTTAAGTTCAAGTTCATCACCACCCCGACTCAGGGTCTCTGCCTCAGTGGCAAGAGCATCTCTGTTTTTAGGGCCTCCTTTTCCTAAAGCCTGCTCTGATTCTTTTTCCCTTGAGGGTTGGATGGGGACACAGAAGGTGTTTCGTAAACCTTGACACTGAGTGGGTGGCAACTGCCACGGACGCATCCCATGACTCTACCTGGTTCTAATCAGGATACACCTAAGGACCTACACCTGCTCCACCAGCCCCAGATGCTTTTTCTGATTTTACCACGCTACCTACAGACCCACCTGAGACCACAGTGGCAGGGCTTATTTAATTCAAGCCCAGAGAGTAACTAGAGCAGTCATGCTCCTGGGGACAGTGGTGGCCACTCAGAGACATTTCGAAATATGTGGTGGCCACCAGCAGGGCCGTGGGCGTGCACTCCCGTCATGTGCCAAGGTTCAAGATGAGGAAGCCCCAACATCTTGCACGAGGACGGACTGGCCCACGCCCTATGGAACGCTGACACGTCCGTCGGGCACACAGAGGGGTAACACACGTGTACAAACATGCATTTTACATGTAAACAGACCCTTACCTATAAACAACATTTTTGGCATGGCTTTACTAGTTGCAGAATTTTTCTAGGACACTGTACTTGGCTCTGTTCAGAACTTGACAGGGAATTGTTCACAAGTCTACAGCACTGGAATGCCCAACAAACATCCTGCCATCCATTTCCATTTGCAGTTATAGCATTCATGGTGCGTCTACATGCACACACAAACGTCTGTCTGCTTCATCATGGCTTCTACTGAAACTACGTGCAAGTGTTTTCATATGAAAATAAATCAGTATGTTTCATTATAAATGACTGTTCTGTTTCTCCCTCACACAGATTGTCTGGCGGTAACTATTTACGTATGTTACATCATTGATAAAACATTTGCTGTTGGTACTGGAGTCTAATGGAGGTAGCAAACCACCATTACGAAGGTCTCAGGTGGAGTCCTTGAAGCTGTTAAAATTAAACTTTGGTATGTATTCCAGAATTTTCCTATGCAGTACATTCAAAATGCATACAAAATACATTTTATTTATATTCCAAATGTTACTGGGATTCTCTATTAGATTTTTTGTGACAAAAAGGTGCATTAGCACCCAAATTGGCATTGCATAAATAACTTCAGGTTATGACCTATTCTAAAACCAGCAGAACGCACTATCACATATGCTGAAAACTAAATGTTTTACTGATTCTTATTTATATCTCCGCACATCTACTTCCATAAAGACGTAAGGTATGGGAAGTTAAAAACACATTTTTTTAAAAAAAGAGTGGTATAGTTTAAATAAAGACAACACAAAGACTTAGGAAACCAAATCCTTAGCTACTGTGGTTGAACACCAAACAAGTGCATTAAGTATTTTTTCTAGGTAAGAAAAATATGAAAAATAATGTGTTATTTCTTTCTCTTTTAATAAAGGGGGAAAAATTAAAATGTATTCCAATGAGAAAACTACTTTTCCCAAAAAAGCATCCACAACCTATTTTTTAAAAGATAATGAGAAATGACATACGGGGTCATTTTGGGTCTTGGTCCATCATTTCTGTTAAAACAATATATTTTAGTTAACATCACAACCAACTCTGAATTGTGAAAATCTGAAGTGTGCAAATTTGTGTTTCCATTACGTACTTCATTCATTGATTTAAAAGACTCAGAGATCTTTAATCAACATATGAGATCACTCAGAATTTTGATATATTTTTCAATCTTCATTAAAAATAATTGGAAAGGGATAAATTAAAGGCATTCAATGAAAATTAAGGGGCAAATACATACCCCTAGACTACAGAATTCATACACTGAGGGTTTTCTTTTTTTTTAAAAGTAAAATCTGGATACTTTACAATTTCAGGTAACCTGAAATGATCACTTCGCATCAAGAATCATACGTGTGATTGATTGAGATTATATTGTGCACCATATCATACATGTGGAAAACAATTCTTACTTAGAAGTGACTGGGTAGGAGTCCAAGCTGGAAAAGTAACTTAAAATTGTTTATTGCAGCACAATCTACATATATATTTTTTTAACACATCCTAGAACCCAACAACATTTCTGCGCCATCTATCAAGAACAGGTTGACTTAGAGACTGCTCACTCAAAAATCTGTCACATAAAAATCGCAATGCTAACAAAGGTAAAATAAGCATTCAAAAACAGTTATAGTCCACAGAGTATAAGTTTAGGCAATCCGAACGCAATATCTATATAGAACATCATCCAGTTTCTTGGATGACAGCACTGCACCCTAGAAAAGGGGCACGCACAAGGCCTGTCCCTTCCAGGAGGCTGGAAGCCAACTCGGAAGAAACAAGACACAACAAGCCTTTCAAGCCAGGATGGCTGGGAAACCTCCTCATACTCCGCAGGGGTCCCATTGCCTAGCTGGTTCTGCTCAGCTTAGATCACAGTTATGGGGCTATTTAGGTGAAAGACCTGAATGGTCCACTCTCGGGGTCCATCCCCTGGCAGAAGCACCTTCCGAGGAGGGGGAAGAGTCCACTGCTAGCTTATACCTTGCACGTTGTACAAGGAACGGCCCTGGATGGAGCTTCACGTTGCAAATATAGAAACCGTGAGCCCCAATAATGACTTCACCCACAAGCACCACAGAAATAAACTGCAGCCACCTCAAAGCCAGCCCTGCCAACCCCAGCACGTCCGGACGTCGGGACCAGAGCCTGACCCAGCACTAGTTGGGTACACACAAAGGCTCCCGGTCTCCCGGACAGCCCAGGTGGCTGGAACAGACTGCCGCTGAGCCACGCTGCAGTGACCAAAGCCATTGCCAGGCTGCAAGATCTTCATGAGAGTGAAATAGTGAATAAAAAGTTCAAACACTGGACTCCCACCCAAGGGCTTCATGGTTGGCATCTTTTGTTGGCATGGCCCCTTCAATTAATTTATAACACAGTACACTCTCACAGACAGTCAGACCCCAGTCCTGCCCAAGTCAGTCACAGAAAAGCAGCGAAGGCAACCTCACCTGCCGGTCTCCTCCCCATCTTTGTTTCCAGCTAAATAAAAATCTAACCCTGACCTTGAATTCGAACCTTTCGCGGGGAAACACTGCCATCTAGTGGCTGCGCTTTAATTCCAGTTTGTCACAACCAGTCCTCAGGTCCTGAAAAGTGTGGGGGACACATCTATGTGCCCCTCGGTTTAGGGACACCATATAGGCCTAACATAAGGGAACCCCGTGAACGAGATTCATCTGGATTTATAAGCGGATAATTTTAAAGACGAACGTTCCTCCATTGTAAGTGAATCCGTTACCTTACACTTTTCTGCAACTTTTAAGAAGAATTTCCATCTTCCTCCACACGTCACTACAATAGTCTTTAGATAATTCGGAAACCAAGAAGCCAAAATACCCCAATGTGTGTAACCTCCCAAATACATGGAGACATTCGGGGTAAATTTCCCCTCATTTCAAGTGTTCATGTGCATGGGAGACTTTAAATTTTTTTGCATCAGGAAAATTAAAAAATCACAAAGTCGAACATATTAAAACTAAGCCATAAAACAGTCACTTCATTCTCAGCCAGAGTTTAAAGACAGGTGTTTAGAAATTAGGTGTCTACCTAACTTGTAATACTCGCCGACAACTTCAGGTGAAACTTGAGATCTTTTCCTAACACAGTACGCGTTAATGAAACTCTACAGCTTTGCAGCTGGATGGAAAGCGGGCACTGATCATTTTCTTAATTTATTTTTTTGAGTCGGAGTCTCCCTCTGTCGCCCAGACTGGAGTGCAGTGGCCGCTCCCGACCTGCGGGGCTCCGGCGATCCCTCCACGCCCGGCTCAGTTTTGGGATTTACTGCAGAGCCGAGGTCTCGCCCAGTTGCCCAGGCGGGTCTCGAACCCCTGAGCAAAGGCAATCCTCTCGCCTCGCCCTCCCAAAGTGCCGGGGCCACAGGCTTGAGCCCGGGCGCCCAGCGGCACTAAGACTTTCGAAGTGCCTTTCCTTCAGGGACACCGGGGCCTGCGGGATGCCTTCCTCCCGCCCCCGGTCCG